AAAGATATCATCGTGTGGTCAGGGCTGGGCGTGAATCGGTCACATGATGATTATGTTAAATAAATATTAATACTGAATTCAAATAACTTTGCACTTGTTTATAATCTGAATTAATTGCTTTTTGCATTAAATTATAATGATAAAAAAAAGTTAAAATATATTTACGATTCAAAAATTCCCATACCGGGAATCGAACCCGAGCCTCCTGGGTGAAAGCCAGGTATCCTAGCCACTAGACCATATGGGAGATGTTGATATTATCCCAATATATTAATGAAATCGAGATGCTGAATTTAGAATCTCAAAATTTTGCAAATAAGTTTTTTTATATAACATAGATGTACGAGTATAACAAGAAAGGATTTTTCAAAACCACCACTAAGGGAGTAAAGCTCCCAAAGTACACGCGTACAAAAGTCGCAGGCAAAATCTAGTTTGTTTAATATTCGTCTCGCCTATAACTAACTAATATTTCTCTAAAAATTTAAGTATAGAGTGGAATCGTAATCGACATCGATAGCGACAAATATTTTCTAGCGTTCCGCGTCAACACGACGCGTCCAACTGTCGAGGCAGTATAGAACGCTTTACATTTTTTGACGTCTGTTGACCTAAATTTTTAAAGAAAAAAACTTAATTTTATTCATCTTCATCATTAAATCAGCCTAGCTGTTTACTACTGCACATAAGCCTCCCCATAGACTGCCATAAGGAACGGTCCGGAACAACCTGCTACCACTGACTCCCTCCCTCCAATGCATTTGAGGTCGTCGCACCATCTAGTAGAGGGTCCTAGACTGCGTTTGCTCATACGGATTGCCACTCAAAAACCTTTCTTTCCCATCGTTGTTGTCTCGCGGTCGTCAGCTCTTCGAGCTGTGTGACCAGCCGGTTGCCGCTTCAATTTACTTATCCTCCGAGCTATGTCGGTCGCTTCGGTTCTTCTATGATTATCCTCCTTTCGGATTCTCTCACGCAAAGTAACTCCAAGCATAGCTGTCTTCACAGCTGTTGATAAGTTAAAGTTTTGCATACGGGTATTACATATTGCAGGACTTGATTGATAATGCTACTAATAGTTCCGAATTCACTAGTTTTAGCGCAGTTTATTTTTAGTTTTTTAATCAAATGTCAATTTAACATTTATGTTATGAGTATGGTACTAGTAAACGTTATACATGACAAAAATCTCGATCCAATACAATAGAATTAATGATAACTTTATTTGCACGAATACATTAGAAGTATTTAATGTTAAAGAAAATACTCTCTGCATTCAACCGTGCGCCGTGCAAATATTTCATTTGGAACTTGTTCTTAAAATAATAGCACCCATCTATCTTTTCATTTAAAAGTTTCCTCTTGTCGGTGCAACTAATCCATGCATCTTCTTCCAGCCAGCTCTGTCCCAGGCCATATCCTTGACCTCCCTATACGTCACGACACCTAGTGTTTCTTTTATCTGTACCATGTAGTTATTCCTCGGTCTTGCTCTTCCTCTTTTGCCCTCTATTTTTCCTTCTACTATGCTCTTTAAAAAATCATCATGTATAAGGTGGCCCGGCATTTTGCCTCTTCTATTCTCTATTGTTTTAATTAATGTTCGTTTCTCATTCACTCTTTTCAAGCCTTAATAATAGCCATAACAGTCACAAATTGGTTACAAGTTACGTAGCCTTACTGGTATTTTCTATATTTGAAAGTGGCGGCACTCAAAGCGCAACTCTTCAACAAATCGGCGTAGTTACGCCGCTCGTTAGAAACGCCCAAAACAGCGTGAGCGAGCCTCTGTTGGCGTAGCTACCAGTTAGTGTACTTTGTAAGCGACTTGAAAACGGTGCACATTCTCAATTCGTCTATATTTTATCATGCGTTTACTTACGCAATATTTCCAATAATTCTTTGAAAATCCTTTTAAAAATCAATACAGTTAATAGTTCTTTACACTTAATTATATTTTTTTGCCAACCCGCCCGCTAAGCGTGGCAACTACTAATAAAACCCTCGAATTGGGGGAAACCTATGTTCAGCACTGGACAGCTACCGGTTGTAACGATATAACTTATATATTTCTGCCTATTATTGTATTTTTAAAACGACAGAAACGTCTATGACCAATCATGGGAAATGAGGTGCAGTTTGGTAATCCTGAAAAATATTATTTTAATAATCCTTGTTAATACTATAAATGTAAAAGTGGCTTTGTTTGTTTGTTATCTTATAGCGCCTTAACAACTTCACCGATCACTATAAATATTAGTATACGTGCGTATATACTATGTAATATAGAGAGAAATATAAGCTAATTTATATCCGTTTATATCACGAAATATACGAGTATCACGGTCACGCGGTTGAAGTCGCAAGTAAAACCTAGTATGTATAGTAAATAAATACTGAACGTACTTTACGGCGACTCAAAATATATAATATAAGTCTATAAAAAATAGCTGTTACAATCGTGACGAAATACTATACAACTTAGAATGACAAACAAGCTGACGGCCCGCCTGATGAAAAGTAGCAACCGGCTCCTAACACACTATCATAGCTATGGTATCCGTCATACGTCGCTATTCCTGAAGACTAGGACGTTATAATTTCACTGCCGTAGGTACTACATATCAGTTACTTTTTTGCTGATCAAAATATACTTGCACCTATTTTACAACAATTTTAAAGCTGTTTTGTCAACAATTTCTTTTAACACACCTAAACGGATCTTATAAAAACTTTTTCAGAGCGACGCTAAGAAACCTGTGGCAAGTTTCTATTTTGGTTTTCCAGGCGCAGGTGGCGCCGCGCCCCGTGTGTTCACTAGTTTTCTTGCAAAATTAAATAACGTGTAATGTAAAGTTTTTAAATTGAAATAATTAGTTTTGCTACAATTGAAGTAATTTTTTTTTGGGAACAATTCAATTATTCGAAGTCGGTTGAAAACAACGAATGCATTTCTTTCAATAGTGAGTTAAACAGAGCTTGAAAATGTCATATTTCAAGCTCCATCGACTCGAAGGGACGCCTCTTGTTATAAACAATGTCCGCACAACGCAGTACAATAGCCCAGTAACCTACAAACACGAATTCCTAAACAATGATAAAATTCATCCTCACCCTAATTTATTTACACTACTCGTAGTACAACTGGGAGGTCCAAGTTGTCTAGAACAACACAATGCGAAACTAAATCACCATCCGCTTGATGGAAAGTGGTAACCGTCATGTACAGGTATATTTTTTATATCCTCCACTCCGTCCTATATCTACATTTTTTTTTTCAAATTCAAATCATTTATTGCACGTGTTAGATATTTATTTTAAATTATATTAATTCTATTAAACATCTTGTGTCAAAATGTGTACCTACATTTATTAATAAAAATCAGACTAACTACTTTAAATATAATAAAATGTTAAAATTGTTATTATACCAAATTTTGTAATGAATTATTCTTATAATGTATATAGAACACTAATTTATATTTTAATTAATTTTATAATTATTTATTATCATGATATCTACTTAAATAAAAAGTAATGAAATTGTAAGAACACGTAGTCTCGCCGACTTGTTCACTCGAATTCGGCCCTGTAGATATAAAAGATTGTTATTTGGGTGGGGAGACACTTCTTGCCCCACCGTTGAACAGAGCGGAGCTCCCTGCCGTATCAAGAGTGAACAAGTATAGTGAACCACGTGGTCATTATATAAAATATATATCAATTATTGTTGGTGGAAGTCCTTAAGAAGCTATATTTAAATAAGTGTGAATGGATTAACAGAAGTTGGGTATTTATGTTATATTATTTGTTATATATCAAATACAAAGTAAAACAAGTAAATATATGATTTAATAGTACAATATCTAAATTAAATGAACTGTAAGTACTTGTGCTTCATTTCTATTTATCACTAAGAGGCTTACATCCTGTATATTGCTAAAGAATATATATTATATACATATACCATGTAAAGTTATAATTACGTAATTAAATTACTATGTAAATCTATTACCCTACAGTTATTTAATATTTAATTTTGACACACGAATATGGGTACATAAATTAGATTAAAATATTTTTTAAAAGTCCATTATTACACATACTACCATATCGACCTGTACAATATAAATGTATTAACTAATATAATGTCTGAATTGTACCGTTTCATACTTCGCCCACATTGATCTATGACATTGACAGAGAAAGACGACTGTAGCATACCATTCATACATCAGAAGATTTTATTAAAAAATCCCACACATATTACTGCCACCAAACAGCTGTTTGCATGGCTGTGTTTCGGTTTGAAGGGTGGGATATGACGTGAATGTACTGGGTACGGAGGAATAACACCCGAGTCCTCAGGAATGGCAACGCATGGGAGGTATCATGGGCGAAACATTATACTCTGTTATGTCCATGGTACTGCTCATGTCTATAGCCGACGGTTACCACTTTCCATCAGGTGGGCCGTCAGCTTGTTTGCCATTCTAAGTTGTAAAAAAAAAAGCTGTATTCACATGACTGTATTAAGTAGTATTATTTAAGGGTTTTGCCAGTAGTTACCACGCTTGTTAGGCGGATTGGCAACCGCAGATAGCCTTTTAGAGATGTTTTAAGAAGAACGTTGCTACCGTCTACCATTAAGTTCCTTTAGTCGCCTCTTACGAAACCCACAGGAAGGAAGAGGTGGCCAATTCTATGCCGGGACCACACGACGAAGGGTGTAAGTGGTGAAGGATGGGTTGTGGCAAAGAAATTACAAGGCACGGAGACATAACACCATAGTTCTCTGAACACATAAAAGGTATCACTTTCCATTGTTTACTTCCTCAACTTGTTTGTTATTCATTGTTGTTTTAAAAATAGGTACAGTTTAATAGCTATAGCTTCAAGACTATAGACGTATTTAAAGTGGGGTCGGCTGAGCCGTGCCCACTTCAAACGGACCTTTCAATTATTCTATAAAGACATGTCTGACAGTACATACGAACTCTCGGGCTATAGAATGAGCTAGTCAAGGTTTCTCTAGAGACTACAATATGGGGTTCTTCAAAACATACCCTGTATTAAAGATTGTTCAAGGTCGGCATCGCGCACGTGACACCCCTAGTGTTGCAGGCGTCCATTGGCCACAGTGAGTATTTGACGATTTATTTGCTTGTTTTCCACCTTCGTAGTATAAAAACATACCTTTTTTTAAGGTTCCACATCTGGTAAAATAATTATTAAAACGCCAATGTGCAAAACAAATCTATGAGAATGAGAAAAGGCCACGGAACAGGATTCAATTACTCGAAAGCAATTAGGGGAATTGAGACACGGTGTGGGAGGTCGTGCCGGCAATCGACTGGTAAGTCGTTTGTTGATGTATATTGTTTTGTAGAGTGTGATTGTTTATCACTAGTGTTTACCCGCCACTTCGTCCACATGAATTTAGAACGGCAAACAAGCTCACGGCTCACCTGATGAAAAGCGGTAACTATTGCCTTTAGACATAAACAGTACCATGGATATAACAAAGAAGATTATGTCGGCTATAATCTTCAAGCGTTGCCATTCCTGAGGACTAAGGTGTTTCTGTACCCTGAAATTTCACTGCCATAATCCACCCTTCAAATCAAAGTACAGTCAAATCTACAAACCTAAACATAATAATGCAAACACAAATTCTTCACAGTAGAATCACGAATGGGACAGAGGTACCCAAGCAAACGATTTTTTAAGAAGTCTCTATCTGGTGATTTACTAATAGAGTATTTCCTTAAAAGGATTCTATTCGATTTTGACTTCACCCTGTATATAAAAAAGGTCAATAAAAACTCTAGTCCGGTGTTGCCGTTATCATGTAAAAATATATGCTCGTCATATTTCGTTCTTGCTGCTAATACATGCAAGTTCAAATTGTAACTGCAGCATATTACCGGCGCCGCGCCGCCGCCGCCGCCGCCGCCGCCGCCGCCGCCGCGCATCTCATAAATGTATCAAACCAAAGCCCGTAGACAGTAACGTAGCATGTAGCGACCCCGCACCGTAGCGCTACGCTACGCTACGTCGCGCCGTAGCGCTGTGCTACGTTGAAGAACTAATTTTATTTCATTAAGCGACTAGCAAAAGGCGGAGGATGTATTTTTTGTGTGTCTGATACGCAAGTTCTTTAAAATCTCAGAAGTCTAGCTGATGTGTCGGTTCTGTTTTATTTGACACGATTAAATATTGACAATAATATTTTTGTAAAGTAACTTCAAAAAGAAGAAAATTCTCAATTTGTATTTTTAATTTCATTTTATTTCATTTATTTATTTTGTAACATAGATAAATAACAATGGATGGTAAAAGAAGCTAAGTCCTGTATGGCCTCTACCTCATACATACTAGATACACAAATTTGCAAACATATACATACATATAATTAAAAATATTTCCTACATATATATATATATATATATATATATATATATAGGAAATATTTTTAATATATTCAATATTTGTGTTCTAGATAGATGATTAACGGTGATATATTTATTGAATAATTTAAAAAAAAGTTTTAAATACATAGTAATACGGAGCAACTAATTTTCACTTTGAAAATTCTTTGTTCCACATATATATATAAAATACAATAATGTCATTTAATTTATTCGTCTGTCGATTGCAAAAAGAATCAACTTATTATATTATCTAAAACATTTCGTATCACAAAAACGTACCATTCACACGATTTATTCTGTGGAAAGTCGTTTATCATTAAGAGAGATTGAAAGAAGCAAATATTCTCGCCGCTGCTTCACAATACATATACGCAGAAATCTTCGACTAGTCCCTAAAAATAGCGATTTCTATATATTCTCTTAAAATACTCTTAGAAGCTATATATTAATATATATAGAACACAAACATCGTTGTCTTTATCATCACATCAGCCTTTAACTGTCCACTGTTGAACATAAGCCTCCCCCTCGGGGGGTTTCACCAATAGTTGCCACGCTTGGCAGGCGGATTGGCAACCGCAATTACGCTTTGGAGATGTGTCAAAAGGAACGCTGCTGCCCATCCCCTGCCCTTCCTTAGTCATCTCTTACAACATCCACGAGAAAGAAAGGGGTGGCCTATTTTATGCCAGACCACACTGCAAAGACAAACATGCTTGAAGCATGAAAGGGCACCGCTACAATTATCGAAAAATCAAGTCGGTAACCAATCAAAACATTCAGTCAATTAATTTTTTTTTTTTTTATTTGCAGTACTGTTGGATATGAGCATATTGTCTTATGATCTGATCGGGTATTCGTTTATTCATTTATTTATTTTACACATTATTGCACTATTCCCAAAGAGAGTTGACGTCAGGCAGGCGGCCGGTCATAAAACTAAAAGCCAAATCTTTTTGTAACATGGATAAAAACATTACGCCGACCACAAATAATAAAGGGCAGGGTAAGAAGATGATGACACATCATTGCACTATTTAAAAGATAATAAATATAGTTAATATTCATGTGAAGTGATACAAAAGGCGGCCTTACCACTTAGCAATCTCTTCTACCCAAATGTTGTCTACCTTTGGGTAAAAGACATTAAGAAAAAAGATAAAGGGAAAATTTACAACTCCTTTAAATTCTATTGAAACAGTGTCATCTGTTTTACAGTCATGAAGTACAAATTAACGCATACTTGTAAAATATCATAGTAATATTGAAATATACAGCGCGCGATGCTTTCAAATATGCGGCGCGGCGCCGGCGGCTGCTGTGCCACTGGCGGCTGTCAGCTACCTTGTGCTACAAATATGTATTATAAATGTGACATTTTATAAGAATACAAACATTCTTATATTTGTTAATTTGATACAAATTTAGAACTCAAATAGTAAATAACATATTACGCCAAATCATACGTCACTCCTGCTACGTTGCTTCACAGCGACACTGCTTCACGCCGGCACTAACTGGTTATTATTATAAACGCAAAAGTCTGTGAACAGAGGAATAACATCCGAGTCCTCAAGAATGGCAACGCATGGGGGGTATCATGGATGAAACAGTATACTCTATTATGTCCATGGTACTGCTCATGTCTATAGGCGACGGTTACCACTTTCCATCAGGTGGGACGTCAGCTTGTTTGCCATTCTAAGTTGTATAAAAAAAAATGTATAAATGGATAGATCTCGCAGAAATTACTGAATTCATTTGAAAAAAAAATTGGTATTCGTGATTTTGATAATGGATGATAATGGAATGGTAACCCCGCCTGCGTTATCAGTATACACTAGCCACGCAGTTAGAGACGATAGGTGAAGATGAAAGCAGGTTAGCTAGCCCATCGTGATGCATTCCATAAAACTTTCAAAATAATTCCCAGGCGAAACCGCATAGAGGTCGACCTAATAGTGACGGAGCTATTGTATCTCCATTACTAACAATCCCTTTCTTCTCGATATCCGGGATTAGGATATACCCTTACTTTACATTTACATCTACACGAATATTATAAAGAGGAAAGATTTGTATTTTTGTGTGTATGTTTGTAATGAATAAACTCAAACACTACTTTGCCGATTTCTAAAATTCTCTCACCATTAGACAACTACATTCACCCTGAGTAACATAGGCATATATTTATTGCTAGAAAAGATTAGGGATCCTTACTAAAACTTTAGTAACGTAACTCAAGGTGTAAGAAAATGCTATAAAATATCTTTGGTCGCGTGCGCTGCGAAAACTATTGGTGATAGAACAAAAGTATGTTCTACAATATTGAAGAAAATATCAATAACTAGAGAAAACCAATGTCCAACTATTATCGTTATGTCACAATAACCACATTCTGAAATGTTGTAAAAATGTCCACCCGTGCGAAGCCAGAACGGGACGCTAGTAATAATATAAAACCAATGGGGGGAAAGGGATTGTTAATAATGGAAGACTGAGAATCCTATTGCTAGCAATATACCCAATCAGGTCGACCTCCTCGCGGTTCTCCCTGGAAACTGTCATGGTTAATTCCTAATGAATTCATCATGATGTGCTAACTGGCCTGTTTTCATTCTCATCTATCACCCTTCACTGGTGCTCCGCCAGCGTATCCCGTTAGCGCAGGCGGGGTTACCCTACCATTTTCACCCATCAAAAAAAAAGTAAAGTCAATATTTGACTGAGAATTTAAACTAGTAGAGAAGCGCTGTGAGTAGGACCGCGGCCGTACACGAGACGCGCGCTCACAGGTCGGCACGTGTTTTTATTCAATTTACAATGCACTTGCATCGAGAGGTGATGCACGGCGGGCGCTACGTACACTGCTATGTGCTCGCTACGTGGCCGCGAGCTCGCACGAATGTCATTACCGCACTACCACAGCTACGTATATGTATATACCATACTATACGAGTATATGAACGCTGAGTAATAACATTTAAAACATTCGTACAAAAACAAGTGAATAAACTTGTATGCAACGGTCGGTGCTGGTTTTACAATAATTAAAATATATTCTCTATTCGTAATATAATTTATGCTCGATTTTTTTTTAATACGAGTATGTGTTAATTTTTTTTTTATTTTCACAAGTTTCCTACAATTGATTATTCGCTAATCGTTTCGTATCTCACGGCTTTTTTTTTAAATGAGTGTAAATGAAATAGTAACCCTGCCTGCGCCATGAGCATACGCTGGCGGAGCACCAGTGAGGAATGATAGGTGAGGACGAAAGCAGGTCCGTTAGCCCATCGTGACGAATTTCACAAGAATTAATCACGAGGATTTCCAGGGGGAACCGCTTGGAGGTCGACCTGATAAAGTATATTTCTAGCAAGGGGGCAGTTAATCCCCATTACTAACAATCCCTTTCCCCCCTATCTCACGGCATTAGGGCGGCTGACAGAGGTATGTTTCAGAGATAAGCCCACACCTGCTAACAAGATCTACGACCATTCCGCTGCGTATCTTTTTTCTAAATGCAATAAAAAAAGCTATTTTTAACCGACTTCAAAGAGTATATTTTGTCTGAAAGGATATACTCGTACTTATAAATTAGTTCCATGCAAATTTTATCAAAATCTGTTCAGTAATTAAGTTTTTAGAGCAAAACAACTGGTTTTATCACAATTAAAGTCAGTTTTTTCCTTACTTCTTTATTATGTATGTATATTCTATATATATTATTAAACTTTAATCATTATTATTTAACAATAACTATCATAAGTTATATTATATTGTAATTATTTGTGGATACATTAGTATCTAATTCTAGAGGAGCCCTTATTCATGAGCGCAGTCAGCGGCTGTGTCTCGAGTAGCACTAAACGAAACTACGAGAATTCAGGCATCATCAATGTCAAATTTTAACTTGACT